ACAAATACCTCTGTAAGTTCAAGGAAGTATGAAATGTGTGCGGGAAAGCAAAGAGAGCATGGCTTTGGGATACTGAGGAGGCAATTTTGAAAAAATGGCTTGGCATATTCAGTGGGAGGGCTGTGTCCCAGGAGCCTCAGTGGACTACCCTCTGCTAACACTAGTCCTGATAAGAAGAAATTATTTCTGTGCTACGAAATATCACTGTGAAATGTGTTATAGGAATTCTAAGGTCTTAAATATAGAATAAATGTTGATAATTGCACAAGGTAAACACACATACATAAGCATATAAACCACATGTCTAAAATAGTACAGGAGAGCAATCCAAAAGCCATCTTGGTTCTCCTAAAGACTCTCAGTATTTCCTCTGCCTCTCTAATCCTCCTTGCCTGATAAATGGCAATCAGAAGAAGTTCCTGAAGGCAATCAGAAGAAGTTCCTCTCCTTTATCTATGAACCTCCTTGGTATTAATTGTCACTGTTTGCCCAGATGCTCTGCACTGAGAGATCTCTGACGGTATCCTGATTGTCTTATCAAATGCTAATGTTTTGTGTAAACTGTGTCTGGAACTATGCAAAACTTGCTAAATCCTCAGGTATATCACACCTTGGCCTGCCTGAGCCACAGTAACCCCACCTTGTGCGTGATGTAATTTCTGACTGTTTGTAGCAGGGATGTGCTTCTTCTCCACGCCAAAATGCAAACCCTTAAAAGAGATGTTTCTTCTTGGTTCTGGGTCTCTCTTGCCTCTTTGCAAGCGGGGGGGGGGACGGGGACGGGGACTCTGTTGCAACAGAAAAATAAAGATCTGCCTTGCTTTCACTGCATCCTGCCTCCATCCATTCATCTCTCACTGATCATGAACTTAGAGAGGACTCAGTCCCTTGGGGAATTGGGCAGCAAAAGCCAACCACCCCTATTTTTTCTATATAAAATGTGATGAGTGTATTGAGCACCTGATTGGCCCACTGCATCCATTCGCCACTGGAGGAGAGAGAGAAATGCACCATAATCCTAAAGTTCCCAGGAATTGTGCTTTACAAATACTAAAACGCAACATTGCATTTAAAGAAGGGCAATCCACTTAATGGGATCATCGGGGGGGGGGAGGAAGACGCAGGGCTACTCAGAGCAAGGTCTAGTGGGGCCAAGTTTAAGACAACACAGAATAAAGTTACTGGGGAGGGACACCCCGTCATCCTCAGCTGCTCCTACCATTCCTGAATTGGTTGGATATGCTTGCTGACTTTGTGTCATTCCTGGAGCAAGATCACCATCTGCTGCCTGAGCTCAAGCATGACAAGCAGTGAGAATTTTTATTTTTTTATTTATTTTTTAAATCTATTCCATCATTTACTAGACTGGGGGATGAGGGTAGAGCAGACAGACAGAATGGAGGCACAATACCGAGTCGTGTTCATTTACAAAGCCCTGAACAATTTATGTGCAGGGTAACTCAGGGAATTTGTCTAACCCTCTTTTAAAGCCATCAAAGTGTGTAGCCATCACTACCTCTTGCGGAAGAGAATTCCACCAAGTTACACTCAAGAGAATTCTCAGTTCTGTTCAAACCCTTCATTCCGGAGAGGAGCGGGGAAAGAGTATAATTTTACAGCTAACGTTACTAGAAATGGGGAAAGAAGAAAGGCAGGAAATCCAGGAGAATATTGAGAGACCTATAAGTGATATGGGGGTGGGGGGAAGACAGCATGGTGTAGTGGGTAGTGTTTTGGGAATAGGACGTAGGAGACCACGGTTCAGATTTCCATTTGGCCATGAAGCTCACTGGGTAACTTTGGGACAGTCACTGGCTCTCATCCTAACCTACCTCACAGGTTATTATTATTATTATTATACTCTGCCCATCTGACTGGGCTGTCCCAGCCACTCTGGCTGACTTCCAACATAATAAAAACACAGCAAACATCAAACATTAAAAAGTTCTTGATACAGGTAGGTTGTGGGGATTAAATGAGGAGGGAGAACCATATACACCACTTTGAGCTCCTTGGAGAAAAAGGTGTGATAGAAATGCAATAAATACATAAACTACCAGGGAAGGAGCATGAGCTCAGGGACTCCGGCAGGGTCCAAGGCTGTGACCTAGCCAAGTCTGGGTGTGCCCCACCCTCCACTTGAGCTGCTGAGAAGAATAGATCACACCACTCTGCCCCCTGTGGTTGGCATGGCCATAGAATCACAGATGCATGAAGCCTCAGGATCGTAGGATCCCAGCTTGCTCTATCTGTGATCATTCAGGCTCCAGCATCTAACCCAGGGGTCTGCAACCTTTAAGACAAAAAGAGCCACTTGGACCCGATTCCGAAGAAAAACAACAACTGGGAGCCGCAAAACCATTGCGACATTTAAAACAAATATATCTCCGGAGCCGCGATCTGACAGCGGGCGGGAAGGTGACGTCGGGACGGTGCGTGACTAACACACACACACTGCCCCCATGTGACGTCACAGCAAGTACAGCGCCCGCCATAGTGGGGAGTGTCGGGGCGCACAATGCGCCTCCTCCCCTTGCTAGTATCCGCCCCGGAGCCGCGGCAAAGGTGTAAAAGAGCCACATGTGGCTCCGGAGCTGCAGGTTGCAGACCCCTGATCTAACCTCATGCGACTCCTAAGAGATCACCAGCCCTTTAAGCAAAAGCACATAAAGGGGCATCCTAAATCAATGGGCTGGAGCAACTGCTCTATGAGGAAAGGTTATAGCATCTGGGGGGGTTTCCACTTGTTTCCAGAAAGTGCAGATCAGGGTTCCTGTCATAATAATAATAATAATAATAATAATAATAATAATAATAATAATAATAATTTTATTTATATCCCGCCCTCCCCAGCCAAAGTCAGGCTGGCTCAGAGCAGCTAACAGCAATAAAAGTAACACAGCATTCTAAAATCAATATTCTAAAATCAATTCAAAATCAAATGGCAACCACTGGGCCAGAATTCTACGAGGATCACCAAAGGAGGGGGTCAGACTGTGCCTTCGCCAAAGGCCTGGTGGAACAGCTCTGAATTGCAGGCCCTGCGGAAAGATGTCAAGTCCCGCAGGACCCTAGTCTCTTGTGACAGAGCGTTCCACCAGATCGGGGCCACAGCCGAAAAAGCCCTGGCTCTGGTTGAGGCCAGCTCAACAATATGGATGAAATTCCACAACATAAATCAACAATAGGGATGATATTCCACAGAACAAGAGAAGACACACTAAAAGCCCTGCTCTGAGTTACTGCAGAATGGGCTTCTCAGACCTCTGGAACTTGCAAGAGAAGCTCTCCTGCAGACAAAAGATGCTGGACTAGGCAGGCCATTGGTCTGATCCAGAAGGGCTCTTTTTACATTCTTATGGGATTGCATATGACCTCCTGCTGACTTCAGGGTGAGGTTCCTGGCAACCACAAACTGTTGGTTGGCTAGCAAGGCCAGCCAACGTTTTGCTGACCTCTACCTATATTCACTGATAACACCCGGTTTCCAGGTCTGATAAGAATCCCCCCTTGCCTGCATGTTATTTGGTTGGCGGGCATGCAACTAGGTCTGAGATGAGGCTGGGGACTGGAGTAGGGGCTGCGTCCTTCATCAAGACACTAGCAGCTTCCTAAAGCAGTAGATGTGGGGAAAATTCACTTATGCAATCCTTAGTGGGAAAGGGGTTCGCCTTCCTCTCCATTTCAGCATTCCGACAATACCTCCAACACATGCACTGGCAGAGCAGTTCAGGAGAAGAAAGCACACAAAATGACTGCAAGAGGTTGCAAAAGAGACCAGCATACAATTTTTAACACCTCAAGCAACCAGGTGCCAGGATCTTTCCAGCCCCAACATAATACGATTCCAACGTGGTGGAGGAGGAGACTAAGGGGGCAGAGAATCTCTGGTCCCAGTTTCAGAAACCAAGAAGCCGAGAGGTATGTATTATGTTTATTAAGCTATTAATAAAAGTGTAAGGGAAGAACTTTTTTTCCACTGTGACATCAATACCTCCCACCAGATTACAATTACAGTTAAGGGGAGATATTGCAATGGCAGGTGCCTGCATGATTTACAGCGGGAGACCCATTCCTAACCTCACGTCCCAGACACGTACCTATCTTTCTAGTTCATTATGATTATTAATAATTGATACTGGCAAAGTATTGTTTGCAACCTGTAACACAGTCCTTGCTGAAATCCTGGGGCACGTTGGCGATCTAAACTTCCACAGGTCCCTGAGGCATCAGCAGGAACCTCTGTACATGCAGTGGAACCACCATCACATGGAGGAAAGAAGCAGGACCCATGTATGAACAGACTGAACCCGTCTTTGGGGCTGAGGTACCAACGTTTTTGAAAGAGCAAAGCTGTGAGCCCTCACCAGGCTATCAGAACTCTCAGCTCTTCAACCCTGTCCTGTTACCTTGTCAGAAAGTACAATGGAGGTAGATTTTCCTGCCCTGCCTTCCCTGATCCCAGCTTTCCACCCATCCTGTCGAAGGCCCTTAAAAACAGCTCAAATTAGCATCACGTCTATTATGGTATAAGCATGAACTCCTCACCCTACTGCAGAAATACAGTAGTGCCCCGCAAGACGAATGCCTCGCAAGACGAAAAACCCGCTAGACGAAAGGGTTTTCCGTTTTTGAGTTGCTTCACAAGACGATTTCCCCTATGGGCTTGCTTCGCAATACGTTTTCGTCTTGCGAGTCTTGCGATTTTTTTCCGCTCCCTCCCCCTTTTTCTAAGCCGCTAAGCCGCTAATAGCCTTTTAGCCGCTAAGCCGCTAAACCACTAATAGCGCTAATCCGCTAATAGGGTTGCTTCGCAAGACGAAAAAACCGCTAGACGAAGAGACTTGCGGAACGGATTATTTTCATCTTGCGAGGCACCACTTTAATGAGTTGCCTGCAGGCTTTTGAACCACCCTGTGGATATGGGCCAATTCTACTTCACCACCCTGTGCCCCCCAACACCCCAATTTCAGCCATCACTCAAAGCATCTCTTCCTTACCTCGTGGAAGACCACAGCAGGGGGATGTCCCAGCCCAGCTTTAAGGGGCTTCGTGGCACTCCTCCAGGTCTTCCCAAAGAAATGGTGGTAGGTGACATCAAAGAAGGAAAGGCGCAGCTGGAATTCCACGTCCGACATTTCGTCCAACGCTCTCTGCCAGTGGTAGACCAAAGCAAACCATGAGAATGTAAGAAGAACCAAATGGATCGGGCCAGTGGCCCATATAGACCAATATCCTTTTATCACTGTGGCCAACCAGATGCCAATTATGGAATGCCTGCAAGCAGGACCTGAGCACAAGAGCACCCTCCTTTCCTGTGGCTTCCAAAGAAACAGGAAGCTGGGCTGGATAAGTCTTTGGTCTAGTTGACAAGGATTCTTATTAAGTTCTTAAAGATGGAGAGTGCAGCACTAGGAAATTCCATTGCCTCTCTCAAGGCTTGGGTCCAGAGGAGGTGGCCCTTCCAGCAACATGCAGAATGCAGGGTTCATCTACAAGTTCTCAGATTACAAATGGAATTTGCAGCAAACTGTTAAAAACTTAAGAGGAGCCTCCTGAATGAGGCCAACGGCCCATCAAACCATGCATCCTGTTCTTACAGTGCTGCCTCTGACCATGGAGGCAGAACAAAGTTGTCAAGGCCAGTAGCAGTGAGTTGATTAGCATGGTCTGTCCATCAGAACAGAGGAGGGCCTATCCTAAGGAGAAAAGGAACTATTTGCTCCTGTTTTAACAAATCTCAGGGTTTCCCAAATTTGGGTCTCCAGCTGGTTTTGGACTAAATTCCCGTCATCCCTAGCTAGCACAACTAGCAGTCAGGGATGATGGGAATTGTGGTCCAAAAACAGCTGGAGACCAAGCTTGGGAAACACTGCAAAGTTACTTCTTCCCCAACCTGCTGTCCTCCCGCCAGCCCCATTTATTACAGTCAGATATCAGGGATGATGGGAGTTGTGATCCAAAATATTTGGCGTGCCCCAGGACAGAAAAGGCGTGCGTAAACTAACTGGTATATGAGATGTGCCTACTCAGAAGGGTAGGATGAACTCAATTTGGTAGAACTTACTCCAAGGTAAGGGACGCGGGTGGCGCTGTGGGTTAAACCAGAGCCTAGGGCTTGCGAATCAGAAGGTCGGCAGTTCAAATCCCCACAACGGAGTGAGCTCACATTGCTCGGTCCCAGCTCCTGCCAACCTAGCATTTCAAAAGCACGTCAAAGTGCAAGTAGATAAATAGGTACCGCTCTGGCGGAAGGTAAGCGGCGTTTCCGTGCGCTGCTCTGGTTCGATAGAAGCGGCTTGGTCATGCTGGCCACATGACCCGGAAGCTGTACGCCAGCTCCCTCGGCCAATAAAGCGAGATGAGCGCCGCAACCCCAGAGTCGTCTGCAACTGGACCTAATGGTCAGGGGTCCCTTTACCTATACTCCAAGGTAATGTCCTGGTTCCCACTGTATACAGAAATCAATCTCAGGTTAAATTTTCTGCCAAAATTTTTTAATGCAAAGCAAGGATCAATGGCCCAAGGGGTGTTATGCACAGCGTTGATCCAAGAAACGGCATGCCCCCCTTACGTTCTGATATAAAGACTGTAGAAGGCACCACTTTAGTGTGGCAAGCAGGTTATTTCTTTGGACTGGGCAAGCAAATGGGAACACCTTCTAATGGGCTGAGCCTAAGCTGTCTGTGCCAGTGCTAGACTCTTCACAACCTATGTAACGTAGGAGGTGAGGTGACATCACCGGCTCAGGACCAGAAGGGTGGTGGGTGTCTCCTGGAAGGCTGGACGAGGGACAAGCTCCAGCGGTGCCAGGGGCAGAGGAAAGGCTGGCACAGAAGTTGGTGGAGAAATGGGCACAGAGCATCTGGGTGACACGGAAGTGGTTCGGGTGGAGCACCGGGGTGACACACCTCTGGGACCCCCCCCAGGTTCGAGTCCTTATTTGTAGCTTCCCCTCTGGGTTGTTCCTCCATCTCGCACAGCCCAGGCGCTACCTGTCATAACCTGCTGGGCTGCTCCCCATGGTTGTCAGTAGGTAAACCCTCCAATTCTTCCCCATCCTGGTCTGACCAGGTAAACGAATATAGGATAGCGGCTTAACGAATGTTTATACTTATCCACTTTAAAGAGAACTGAGTCTATAAGTTTTATATAAAAATACTCACCCACCTTTGCAATGTCCCCATGGGGAGTTAAGAGTTTATAGAAAAACTGGCAAAGTACACAGAAGAACATAAATTACAAGGGGCACAGGGCTCCATATAGTATGAGATAGCGCAGAAGACAGCCATGGGTGTGGGAAGTCACATGCAAAGGGGGGAGCTGAATGTGGTTGAATAGGAACTAGGTTAGGATTAAATATTTTTTTAAAAAAATATCTTGCAGTAATATGAGAGGGCAGGATAGAGAGGGAACAGCTGGCCAGTATCAGAACCAGAGGGAAAGTAATTAAAGTTAACTGCATCTGATTTTTAAACAAGGCGACGTTCTCACTCTCTGTCAAATAGAAAGCAATTGGCCCCTGGAAGTCTTAGCCACCAGCACATTACACAGCAGCTGCTTAAAGCAGGCTCACGTCCTGAAAACTTGACACAGAGATTTGCATAGTTAAGGCAGCGCTCTTGGGTGATGGTAAGGTCAAGAGCCCACACAGCAGCTCTCTGTGTGAACATGGCACTCAGCGCCGCTTAAATTATTCACGGATTGCTTTTCTCATACAAATTTAAATGGGCATCTAATAATACACTTTTTATTTTCATTTAAAAAATAACATTACAGTCAATGGGTTATACGCAAAGCAGTCTGTGCGTAAGCCTGGGCTTCTACTTGTGCAATGGGGCTTCACTTTCCTCCCCTCCTCTCTAAAGCACCCTCATGCATCCTCAAAGTCTGCTTCGGGGGGGGGGGTGGCAGGGGGCTGTGGAGCAGACCATAGCCCTTAGACCAAAAAAAAAAAAAAAAAGATTAGCCACCCCATCCATCTTAAATATTTACAAGGTTGGCCATGGCAGGAGACGTGTGCTATTGGTGAAGAAATCCGATTAAGCTGGAGCAAAGTCTTATTTATAAATCATGTTTCTAGTCCTCGCAGTTAAGAGAAGGTGCAGCAAGTCACCTATTTGTTCCAGGAGGGCAGAGGTTCCCAATTAGCTAAGTACAGCAGACACCCGGTTTTTCAAAAGCTAAGTCACAGACTCCCTACTTTAGAAAATTTTAATATCTTTATGGTAGATTTTGTTATGTGAATGATGCCACAGACCCCCCAGGTGGGTTACGTGGACCCTCTGGGGTCTGTGGACCACCAGTTGGGAACCACTGCTTTAGAGCATAAGAGAAGTGCCACCATTTGCATAACATAATGTTGTTTATTACTGTACCTTGTATTTTACATCGTGGTTCTGTTCCTGCTTTTAATGCTGTGTTTTTATTCCTTTCTGTCTCATGCTCTCAGCAGGGAAAGGGTGGTGCATAAGAAATAATAACAGCAAGAAGAACAACTCACCTTGGCCAGGTTTTTAGGTGCTATTAAAGGGAAGTAACTTGCCGTCGATTGTTTAGTTTCATACATGCTGCCCTGGGGAAAGCAGAACCCTCAGACAGCCAGGGAAGTTTAACGTGGCAACTTTTTTTTTATTAAAAAGGCGCAAAGTGATGCACAAGTGTGGGTGACCTGAATTTAGGTTTGGAAAAACAAGAAACTGTCAGAAACCAAAACTGACAGATTTTGTCATTCCCTGATCTCCACCACTGTGAAATGAGCCGGGATGGCAAGAGGCAGCCACTGCAGAAACTGGAGCCCTGAAGCCATGCACTTCCAACAACCCACTCCAGTCGGAAGACCAGCAGCAGTGTTTTGAGACAGAAACCCTATAAAATGTGCATTAAACACATGCGGCATCTCTTTTGCTTATTGTTTCTTTATCTTACAAAATAATCAGTGAGCAATATTCCATCCCAGCTTGATTTAAAACGGACAGGACCATGGCAGAGGAGGGTCTGAGCACAGGGACTCCCTTTAGGGCCTGGGTCAGCCCACGTCCAAAAGAAGGTATTTTAACTCCCAGCTGCCCCTCGTCTCCAATACCATCAGCAAGGCCAGGATTAGAGCAGAGAGACTTTACCAAGTGTGCTATTAAAGATTTAGTCGCTCTGCATTATTTAGCAGGACAGGGCTTTAAACCCCTGAACACTTCAGCCTAGAGAGTGGCAGGTTCACCTTCTCAGGTCTCTGCCTGCAGGTTGGATAAGGTAGATGGGAGCTGAATCAACCACTTTATACTTTCACAAGGTGGTACGGAAGGGGATGAACTTTGCCCACTTGCCATCCCACACCCCCTTACACATGAAAGAGGCTTGCTTTAGCAGGTGAATCCTACTTATTTTAAGTGAGATGCACCAGCAGCATCACATACTCTGGAGACAGACAGACAGGGTAACGAAGGGGAAATGAGAAAGACAGGGTAAGCTGGCCAGATCACATTCTGCCATTATAATGAGAAATCAGTGACAGGGTGGGGAAGTAGGTTCTATGGTATGTAGTTAAAAAATGTAGGTAGGTTTGAGAATGTCCCATGCCAGGCAGAAATGACCGGCAGAATCCGAGACCAGGGAAGAGAGATGGCGGAAGAAGATTGGAAGAAATTTAAGGACTATCTTAAGAAACATTGTAAAATTATTGAATGTTAGAACGATGTTGGTTTAGAAATTAAGTGGTTTCTAGCTGTAATGATCATGCAATTAAGAAAAGAAAGGTTGAAAATCAATAGAAATTATGGGAGGGATTTGCTGAATTAAATAATTAGAAATTGGAATACAGAAAGGGGAGGTATGAGGAGGTCGGGAAAGTAAGGTATAAGAAAATAAGGGATCGAAATTATACTTGTTGTTGTCTGTGTTTTGTTTGTATTTTTGTTCTTTTTTATTTTTATATAACTTTTTGGAAACTTCAATAAATATCTTTTAAAAAAAAAGAGAGAATGTCCCATGCCAAATTAGATAGATAGATAGATAGATAGATAGATAGACAGATAGATAGATGATAGATAGATAGATAGATAGATAGACAGACAGATAGATAGATGATAGATAGATAGATAGACAGAGACTGCACCTGCAGCAGCAAAACCAGACGCCTTCATCTGCTCCACCTGCAATAAAACATGTCCCTCCCGTATTGGTCTCTACAGCCACAGCAGGCACTGTAACTCTCCAATGGTTTAACTTTACCCCTGAAGGCACACTCTTCCATTGTCTCCTGAGACAGACAGATGCCATTGTTGTTGTTGTTGTTGCTGTTGCTGTTGCTGCTGCTGCTGCTGCTAAAAATTCCCAGGAAGGGCTGAGAACTCCCCACTGGTGAGCACATATGTATACAGTGGTACCTCAGGTTACATACGCTTCAGGTTATATACGCTTCAGGTTTCAGACTCTGCTAACCCAGAAATAGTGCTTCAGGTTAAGAACTTTGCTTCAGGATGAGAACAGAAATTGTGCTCCGGCGGCGCGGCGGCAGCAGGAGGCCCCATTAGCTAAAGTGGTGCTTCAGGTTAAGTACAGACCTCCAGAACGAATTAAGTACTTAACCCGAGGTACCACTGTACACCCACATGCACACAAATGATTACACCAAACAGCAGCACCAGTTATAAACTGCAGCGGAAGGATGTTTGGCTATCTGAGCACATCTATTTCTTTCTCTGCCAGAACACACGCTTGAGATAGTTCCGATGCCAGACCCCACCTACAGATCCCAAGGTTCCCAGTTCAAGTCCCTGATGTCATCGTCTACACTGCAAACTCGTTTTTTAAAAAGACCTTTTTCCTCCACCAACAACTTGATGTTGGTGATGGTTACCACTTATAGACACTGATGCTAGTGGGGAATTATCTTTGTGACAGTGGAAGAATCATATTCACTTCGGTGGGGTGGTGTCCTCCATGAGCATTTCATCTAAATGTTATTGTATTGGCATCTTATTGACAACAGCCCCTTGTCATGGTCAGATCACTCCCTGTTGAGATTTAGGTTTTCAGCACCTTCCTCCCTGCAGAGGTGGGGGATCTATTAGGATGGTCTGCCCTCAGAGGCTGATGGATCTAATGGGTTTCCAGACAGCTCTGGGGGACTTTCTGGCTCATATGACTGGCATGCCTATTGAAGCCCCGGGGTTATGGGTTTGTTTTTGTTTTATTATGTATTTTGTATTCTCATGTTGTATTTTTCTGTTGTGAACAACCTGAGGATCTTCGGATGACAGGCAGTTTACAATTTAATAAATAATAATTATATTAATAATCTCAGCTGTGATGTGATGCCCCAAATTTCCCTGCACAGACATACTTTTTCTTTTAAAAAAAACAACAACCCTGGTCTTCAAGGGGAGGTGTATCTTACCAGCTTCAATGCATCCCCCTCCACAGACTTCAGGATGAACTGAAATGCCGTTGATTCCCTGGGTGGAGAGTGCCGTCTCCTCTGGTTGTGTGGAGGGACCGTCAAGTTTTGTACAAAGATCCTTTGCCACTCCCCCATCCTGCTGCCTGAAATGCTGGCACCGTTTTCACCTCAGCCACAGAGACTTCTGCCTTTCAAAAGGAAACAAAAAACAAAAAGGGAATCTCACTCAAGAAACGTTTTGGGTCAACCCTCCCATTACACGTGTGTCTTCCTGTGCTATGAAGGTGCATTTGGCAAGGTCCACATAAGTAACTAACCCCTTCAAAGCTTTTGCTAGTCCACACAGCAACAACCTGAAACCTTCCAGTTTATAAACTCTTGCCTGAAGGTAACACAGTGGTACCTCGGGTTACATACGCTTCATGTTACAGACTCCGCTAACCCAGAAATATTACCTCTGGTTAAGAACTTTGCTTCAGGATGAGAACAGAAATCGTGCTCCGGGGGTGCGGCGGCAGCAGGAGGCCCCATTAGCTAAAGTGGTACCTCAGGTTAAGAACAGTTTCAGGTTAAGAACAGACCTCTGGAACGAATTAAGAACTTAACACAAGGTACCACTGTACTTATCTCACTGCTGTTCCCTGCCTCTTGACATTTGCCGCTTGAAGCAACTGCCTCACTACCCACTGACAGAGATGGCCGTGCATAGGAGCCCACGCTCCACACTTCCTGCCTATGCATTTTCTTCCAGTTTCCAGAAGGAGTAATTGCAACATGGCAGAATGTAAGAAGAGCCTGCCGGATCACGCCAATGGTCCATCTAGTCCAGCATCCTGTTTCTCACATGCTGGCTAGGGCTGGTGGCAGCTGTAGTCCAAAATATCTGTGGACAGTACCAGGTTGGCAAAGGCTGCTCCATCATTTCAGACTACAGGAGTGTTTGCATGTGGAGTAGGGAATTGTGCTCCCCTTGTACTTCAGGAATATAGGCCAAATCTTTCTTCCTACTGCAGCAGTTTACTAAATGTAAAGGGGTTGGAGCTAACACCCCCTTATCTAGAACAAACGTCTAATTTTATTTTACATACGAATAAAGTGGCTCAGAAGCAATAGGTTCCACAAATCTATGCAAGTGTCTGGATTTCGAACAGCCAAAGGTTATTTTTTATCCTTTGGGTGTGGGGGTTTTTTTTTTGGGGGGGGGGAGAGAATGTTGTTTTCCTTTAGACCATGGAACACTTTCTTATTGTAGACCTCACACTCTTTTCCTCTCGGTATGTTTTATTACTGACTAGGTAACTCGCAGAGCTGAATCCTATACTTTTTTATTAGCAGTTGTGACAACCTATACTACTTCTTCTGTTTGTTTGTTTTTCCTGAAGCATGTCTGTTGCTATTAAAACTTGATAAGAAATATATGAAAAACAAACATGCAGAAGCATCCAGGAACATGATTTCCAACTCCATCACTGTCTTTTGTAAACAGAATTCTATATGTATGATAACTGTTTGTGCATTTTCTTTTTACATTGACAACCCTGGGAATTTTGTATTGTAAAGGGCAGTAAAAAAGGGAGGGGGAAGGGGGTAATCTAAAATAAATATTGCCACCTGATTTCACACAATGTATAGGAAGATTTTACCAGGAAGGAGGTGGATGTGTGTGTAAACAGAGCAATAACAGTGAAAAACACAGGCTTGCTGGGTAAATGCAGGGCTAGGGCATCCAGAAATCCTCTTGCATTCCAGCTGAGGAGTCTAAGGATGACTCACTGCCAAATTAGCCCTGCCTGGAGACGAAGCCAGATAAGTCATTCAAGGGCAGGCAGCTGACCTGCCACCGGGAAAACCAGCACTGTGCACATTCATAGATGACATGCTGGGGTTTCTGGAGCTCATCTGTATAGATGAAATATGCCTGCAGCTCCAGCTCAGGTGGAAGGGGGCACCTTCACATCCTCTTCTTGCTGGCCTTTCTATAGTTTCCTCTTCCCTCCTCTGCCTCCCTCATTGTCGGAGATTTCCCTCTTCCAAGCACCCCTCCTGCCCTAGTTTGGAAATAGGGAGGCACACAAACAAACAAACACACCTTGCCAAAGTCCCAAGATGTGGGGTCAGTCTTCTGACTGCATAGATAAAATCAACATGAGTCTTATGTATGCAGGCATTGTAAGCCAAAGCCAGGCTGTATGTATGCAATGCAGGCCTAGGCCCCATCACTTCAATGAGGACAGGAACCATCCGTACCTAAATAACTTCCTTGGGATGCGAGGTGGGTGGGCAGCACAGGTCTGCCTCGGATCAAGGTTGAAGTCCTACCAATTGGGGGGGGGGGCATTTTTGACAGGCAGAGGAATCAGCAAAGAAACAGGACAGGTAAATGTGAGAGTAAGACCCACTACAAGGAATGTCAAGAGCAAGGCCTCCCAGCATCCATAGCAGCTGACCAGATGTCCCAAAGGGAAATCAGCAAGGAAGATCCAAGCACAAGAGCACTCTCCCTCTTGGAACCTTGATACATGAAGGAGCACTCTTCCGCAATACTTTCTGCCCCAAGCCCTGCAGTCAACTGAGAGGCCCCTGGCCATAATACTTATGACCAGCACCATGGGCAAGACAGCAATGTGAGACAAGGCATTTTTGGTGGTGGCACCCAATTCACAGCTCCCTCCCGAGAGATTGTCCTCTGCATTAGCTTTCTTCAAGACCAAATCAATTTTCTGTTCATCTAGGCCTTTGGTTTTTAAGCCAATGTTCCTTCTGAAGTTGGAGCAGACTATTTAGGGGCTCTCCAGACTGCTATTTTATTACAGTGTATTCTACAACATATTCTCGACCCAACAATAAAGAATTAGGGGTGGATTTAATCTACTTTGGTTTGTTCTGCGATGATTCCCCAATGCCACATTATTGCTATCCAGAGGGACTATTGCAAACCAAAAGCGGGACAAAAATAAACCAGAGCATTTGTGGTATTGGACATGCACAGATTGAAAATGAAGCAGTGTGACTGCCCCAAAACGTTTATAGGGACAAACAGAACTGAAAGCAGGAATGTGTATGACTGCCCAAATAGCATCATGAACATAAATCATAATGAATGTGCAGTAAAAAGAAAATCTGGAGGGGCTCTTAGTGTTGTTGATTTGTGTTTTTCATTTTAGGCTGCTTTTATTGTATATTTTTTATATTACATTGTATATTCTGTGCTGTCAGCCACCTTGTGCTTGGAGGAAGGGTTGGAGGAAACTATGCAATAAATTAAATGGCAAGCAAGCTTTTTGAGTTCTACAGAACTGCAAATCATCATGACACTATGGGCAAGTCATCACAAAGGAAAACACACAAAAAAATGCACTAGCTGAAGGGAATCTCACTCTTACTCTTCACTGCCTGAGAAAAAGCAGGAACATTTTAATAATAATAATAATACTGTTGTAGTCTTAACAGCATCTGAAGGGTATTGAGTTCCACATCCTTAATGTATGCCACAGTCTGAACATAACAGTAAACTATGGTTTGACTTAACCAGGAAGTGAGGGAGGGAAGTGGAGAATGTAAAATCTCAGGCAGTCACTGTGGTTATATATATAAAATTAGGTGGTATGTCTTCACTGTACCAATCAGTGTGCAAATATTACCTTTTAAAGTTAAGTACAGTGGTACCTCTGGATGCGAACGGGATCCGTTCCGGAGCCCTGTTCGCATCCAGATGCAAACGCAACCTGCGTCTGTGCGTCTGCGTGTGCGGTGATTCACCACTTCTGCGTATGTCATTTTGACCGTCTGCGCATGCGTGAGCGGCGAAACCCGGAAGTAATGTGCTCCGTTACTTCCAGGTCGCCGCAGCGCGCAACCCGAAAATACTTATCCTGAAGCTACTTCAACCCGAGGTATGACTGTAGTAACCTAGCCAAGCTCCCATTTTCTCCCACGCATCCTTATTATTATGTTCAACAGATCTGAACTAAAGAGGTGCCATTCACAAATCAATAAAACCAAGTTTTCGGAACACTAATATTTATTTTTTAAAAACTTTCCTTTGTTTGTGCTCTCGTGGCAAACAGCACTTGTGGGAAATAGTATAATAAAACCAGCACAAGGTTTGGCACATAAAGACTCCTCCACAACTAATCGGTACAGCTTTATTACATTTATACACGGCCAAAAATGAAAAACAGAGCACTCCCTTCACATTATGAAACTTTTTGGTTAGCATAAACTATATAGAAATTGTGTTCTATATAAATGGTTAGTTGGGTTAGGAACTTGTCTTATTTTGATGTACTGCCTTAACTTCATCTTCCTGGCTAGGGTGGGGTATTTTCTTTTTAAGTTTGTACGATGGTATAGGGCAGGGGTTTTCAACCAGTGTGCCGTTGCACCCCGGGTGCCTTGAAGGATGGTCAAGGGTGCCGTGGGCAACACCGGCCTCCGTCCCTCTTTCCTCCCTCCTCGGATACCCTTTTGCATCTCTGCCTCCCAAAGGCTTGTGCAGCTGTTTGTTGCAGAAGCCTTGGCTACAAGCTCCCATGGCCAATGGTGCCTCTCGGGCCTGCCGGGGTGCCAGTTGCCAGGAACTGAGGCAAGCAAGTGGGTGACTGAGGGAGCCCAGGCGGCCGGCCCGCCAGCCCTTGCTGTTGGGAACGGGCAGGCAAGTGGGAGGCCAGGTAGGCAGGCAGCATGTTGGCCTTTCTTGCGCATGCTGTATGCAATGCCTGCCTCGGATGTGAGTGCCCTGCGCAAAAGGGCAGCCTTTCCACCATGCAGGCCAAGCGGTGCCCGCTGCTGCCACCCAAGTTAAGGAGCTGGCTTTGTGTTCATCTTTGGTCAATCTCCGTCAGGCTGCTTAAGGCTAGGGGCATCTTTTTCCCAGGCCCCTGAGGAGAGGCACAAGGAGGCACTTCTCTTTGGAGCGGTGGAGGCGGCTGCCCAGGACTCCCAAGGAGGGGAGAGGAGGCTGAGGGAAACCTCTATCCACAAGGGAAGGTGTTCAAAAAAGGGGCGAGGGGCTGCCAGATCTGCAGACCAAGAGGTCATGAAGCCATGGACTCAAAATTTAAGGTTGGAGACCACTTATAGTATATGGTGATGATTAATAATAATACAGTGGTGCCTCGCAAGACGAAATTAATTCGTTCCGCAAGTTTTTTCTTCTTGCGAGTTTTTCGTCTTGCGATGCACGGTTTCCCATAGGAATGCATTGAAAATCAATTAATGCGTTCCTATGGAAACCGACTTCAGACCAGGTCCGGGGACAATCTGTCCCCCGACCTCTTCTGAAGGCTGGGGGGGGGGCGAAAGTCTTTGCTCCCCCCCCCCACGGCAGCATTTTAAAATCGCCCCGGACAGCGGAGGACTTCTCCGCTGTCCGGGGCAATTTAAAAGCCCTCCCGGGAAGGCAGCCAGGGGGGACAAAGATTTTCGCCCCCCGCCAGCCTTCCCCTCTTTTGAAGCAAGGGGCGGCAACGGGGAGAAGATCGCTTCTCCCCTTTGCCGCCCCTTGCTTCAAAAGGGGTCCGGTGAGAGAGGGGAAGGCGCGCGCCTTTCCCTCTGTCCCCTCTTTTGAAGCAAGGGCCGGCAACGGGGAGAAGATCGCTTCTCCCCTTTGCCGCCCCTTGCTTCAAAAGGGGTCCGGGGAGAGAGGAGAAGGCGCACGCCTTTCCCTCTGTCCCCTCTTTTGAAGCAAGGGGCGGCAACGGGGAGAAGATCGCTTCTCCCCTTTGCCGCCCCTTGCTTCAAAAGGGGTCCGGGGGGAGAGAGAGGAAGGCGCGCGCCTTTCCCTCTGTCCCCTCTTTTGAAGCAAGGGGCGGCAACGGGGAGAAGATCGCTTCTCCGCGTTGCTGCCCCTTGCTTCAAAAGAGGTCCGGGGAGAAAGGGGAAGACGCCAGCATTTTAAAAAACCTCGGGACAGCGGGGGACTTCTCCGCTGTCCGGGGCGAATTTAAAATGCTGGCGGGCAGCAGCGAAGCCTTCGCTGCCGCCCGCCAGCATTTTAAAAAACCTCGGGACAAAGGAGAAGTCCCCCGCTGTCCCGGGGTTTTTTTAAATGCTGCTGGGCGGCAGCGCTGCCGCCCGCCAGCATTTTAAAATCGCCCCAGACAGCGGAGAAGTCCTCCGCTGTCCCGGGGTTTTTAAAAAACCTCTCCGCCCCCCGCCAGGCTTCAGAGCAGCCTTCCGAAGCCTGGCGGCGGGAGGAGGTCCGAGGACAGTGGGCAAGACGCCCTGTCCCGGAGATTTCCCTATGGGCTTTCGTCTTGCGAAGGAAGCCCATAGGGAAATTCGTTTTGCGAAGCGTCTCCAAAACGGAAAAACCTTTCGTCTAGCGGGTTTTCCGTCTTGCGAGGCGTTCGTCTTGCGGGGTACCACTGTAATACAGTAATAATAATATAATCTATGGGGTGTTCCATGGAAATTATCAAATTATTTCACCAGTTTGTCTGTGAAGCTTCTTGAGGGCACTGGTGTGTGATTAAAAAACAAACAAACCACCTTATATATTAAAGGTAAAGGTACCCCTGCCCGTACAGGCCAGTCTTGACAGACTCTAGGGTTGTGCGCCCATCTCACTCAAGAGGCCGGGGGCCAGCGCTGTCCGCAGACACTTCCGGGTCACATGGCCAGCGTGACAAGCAGAATGCCGTTTACCTTCCCTCTAGTAAGCGGTCCCTATTTATCTACTTGCACCTGAAGGTGCTTTCGAACTGCTAGGTTGACAGGCGCTGGGACCGAGCGACGGGAGCGCACCCCGCCGCGGGGATTCGAACCGCCGACCTTTCGATCGGCAAGCCCTAGGCACTGAGGCTTTAACCCACAGCGCCACCCGCGTCCCTTTCCCGCCAGTAAGCGGTCCCTATTTATCTACTTGCACCCGGGGTTGCTTTCGAACTGCTAGGTTGGCAGGCGCTGGGACTGAGCAGCGGGAGCGCACCCCGCCACGGGGATTCGAACCGCCGACCTTTCGATCGGCAAGCCCTAGGCGCTGAGGCTTTTACCCACAGTGCCACCCGCGTCCACCTTATATATTAACAGCATATAAAATGTCAAGAGAGGCCAAGTTGAAAGGAGAGGAGCCAGTGGAACCTTCTAGAAACTAGCGGAAGAATAAGGGAGGGGCAGAGGCAGTTGGCGCCACAGTTCGCGAGTTGGGGGTGTGTGTGAAGGGAATCTGCTAGCCAATCAGCGGGCACCTCTGTTTTTCCCCAATGGGAAAGGGGCAAATCATAGTGCACCCCTAAAGCTATACGAGGAAGGGGAAGCCGGACAGCCAATCAGCGTGCTGCTTTTCATCGCCTCTCTCAATGGGACGGAGTGCTCGCCCCACTTTCTCCCACCTCCCGTTACCTGCCGCTTTCATGCTCTCCTTCTTTGGGCGCGCAGCCGCCGCCATCTTGTCCGGGCCGAACCACTCGCCTATTGGTTGGAGGGGGGACAGAACAACCATTCGTCACCAGGGGCCACACGTTGCCTTTCGCCATTGCCCTTCGCCCAGTACCGTTCCATCTCCTTCTAGGGTTTATTCTCCTCTGCCTGTCGTCCCGCCCGCCCTCTCTTTGTCTCCTTGCGTTCCTCTTCCGCCACTTATCCTCCCCACCGAACTTTGCTAAATGGCACGGCCCGAGCCGGCGTGGCGGCCGTTGTAGTAGCATAGGCGTTGCCGCGGCAACGGAGAAAAGGGGCGAGGCCTTAAGCGGGCAGGAAACTGCACGCGCGGGGGAAAAGAAAATTCAAATTTTAGCTGCACTATATAGCTTAAGAGAATGGAAGCACAAACTATTCTTAGCCTGTCCCTGCTCCTGTGCAATTTAGCAACAATTACTTTGATATATTAAACAGCCCGAGAAGCAGCCAATTTTACAATTGGGTGCTTTATTCCTTTCCCCACCTCCCTCCCAGCTATTTTAAAAACTGGTGCAATAACCTTAATTCCAATATTATGTATTTATCCCATTTATACGTGTATCTCAGACTTTCAGCAAAGAAGCTAAAGGAGGCGTGCAAAGTTAACCTGTGCCACTGTCCTTTTCCCCTCACAACAACCCTGTGAGGTAGGCAAGGCTGAGAGGTTGTGAGGCCTATCGTTGCCCACTGAGCTTTGGGCCTAAGAAGGGAAATAGGAAGCTGTCTTATACCAAGTCAGACCAATGGTTTATTGTCCACGAATCCCCGTGGCGGGGTGCGCTCCCGCTGCTCGGTCCCAGCGCCTGCCAACCTAGCAGTTCGAAAGCACCCCCGGGTGCAAGTAGATAAATAGGGACCGCTTACTAGCGGGAAGGTAAACGGCGTTTCCGTGTGCTGCGCTGGCTTGCCAGATGCAGCTTTGTCACGCTGGCCACGTGACCCGGAAGTGTCTCCGGACAGCGCTGGCCCCCGGCCTCTTGAGTGAGATGGGCGCACAACCCCAGAGTCTGGCAAGACTGGCCCGTACGGGCAGGGGTACCTTTACCTTTACCTGGGAGAGGCAAGATTTAAATTGGGGGCTTAGTCTCTTCACCCACATGCTACACCAATACTATTCAGTTGTGGCCCTTTATTGGAGAGTCTATTTAGCTGTCATAGCTCAACATTGTTATCTTCCATTAATATATACCGAATCATTTTAAAGCGCAACATCACCAGCATTCATCACCATACATTTCATACTGCAACCTCCTGGGGCGGTGATTGCCTTTGTAAAGTGCTGTGTGTATTGGCAGGAGTGTGCAGACGTGCAACAATCATCACCACATCTTGTAGAAGTGAATCCCTTACGTTTCTTAGGTGATTCTCTGTGAATCAATGTTTATTTCAGTTCCTGAACACTCTTCCAGTTTATTTCCTTACAATTTATACACCTACTGACAAAAACAAACTTCAAAGCAGTTTACAAATGTAGGGTGAGTCCTGATTATGGGAATATGGGGAAGAAAATCTCCTTTTTCCACACTTTATAATCCAAACATTTGCTCAGCAACAAACTCTAGGACAGAGGCTGGTAACCTGCAGCCCTTTAAATGTTGCTGGTCTACCGCTCCTTTCTTATCTGACTGTTGCCCATGCTGATGGAAATAGTCCAGCATTGTAGTGAAGCTTTTTTTAACTCATTGAAACTGAGAAAATAAGATAGAAAAGCTTCAGTTACTAATTTTCTGTGTGCTTGGCCGTCGTTAAAGATGCAGAGGTTAAGTGCAAATTAAATACAGTGACACCACTCTTCATGAGCTTCCCAGAGAACAGGATACCGGATGACTGGGCCTTCTGCACTGAAATACCTACCTTATGGTGAACTCAGGTTTCCATATCAGTTAAAGGAAGATATGTGAAAAAGACAATCCAGAAGGCCCGTAGGAGTGTATGCAGAAATAAGTCCCAATGTGCTCAATGGGGTTTGTTCTCAGAAAGCGGTCAATAAAGCTGCAGATGACCCTATGCATGTATAATTATTTATTATGTAGTGCTCAGTGAGTCTCATTTCCAGGAAAATGCATAGAATTGCAGCCCAGTCCTTCTGATAAGTGTAGATAGGAAGTCCCACTGTGTTCAGGGGAGCTTACTCCCAGGGAGCAATTACAGTTCATCAAGAAGCTTTAACTCTCTTCATTTGGCCTGAATAGAGACAATGGCTTCCTTTCACACTAGATATATTAATTAAAAGCACACACAAGTGAATTACTTTATCATTACCCATACACACATTTAGGTTGCTACATTTTAACTCTTACTGAACCTACGCTATCTGTTCACAAAAACTTACGTAGCAATAAAATTTGTTAGCCTTTAAGGTTTCACTAAACTCTCTGCTAATTTCATTGCAATAGACTGATGTAACTACCCCTCTCTAGTCATTTTGCACAAGATTCCAAGCCAATCTTCTGCCTGTTTACACGTAAGGATGTGTTCCATTGTGCCATAGGTGCCAGCTCTCTGAGGCCCTGGGTGCCCAAGCATGCACAAAATTCTCCATGAAGAATTGTGGGCAACCACAAATTTTGGTGCCAGGGCTATGCACACTGCATGGCACCCTTGGCCCCAGGCACCCTCGGTCGCAGGGCCAAGTTGGCACTCCTGCACCGTGCTGCTCAGTTGCTCTTACTCCTAGGTAAGTGTGCACAGGATTGCAGAGGGAGAGATCTGCTGGATCAGACTTAATGCCTGTCTAGTCTTCCATCTGTTCCCCTTGCAGTGGCCAACCAGATGCCCCTGAGGTGTCTGTACACATGCCCATTTTCATGTCTCTTAAGATTTGTTATTCAGTGGCATAGTGCCTCTGGACTTCAGGTTCCACAGACAGACCTCTGTCTATAACTTTGTGTAATGCAGGGACAGCATGGTGCTCCAGATGTTGTCCCATTAGCCGCAGCCAGCATTGGTGAATAGTCAGTGATTATGAAAGGGTAAGGTATGGAGGTCCACCAGTCCTGCAATAAAACTATATGAGTCAGTAGCCTTTGCCACATCTCATGGTGCTGAATACCACAGGTTAACCTGTGCAGTATGTTCGACCCACGGCATGTTTACTTGAAAGCCTTGCGTTGAAATTCTTGCATTACAGGGGGTTGGACTAGATGGCCCTTGGGTCTCTTCCAACTCTGCTATTCTGATTCTACGATTCTGAAAGTCCCACTTAGAGAAGTGGGGGCTTACCCCCAGATAAACGTGCACAAGACCACAGCAGGGCATAAACGCAGCATCCCTGGGGAAAGATGCTCCAGGCAGAGGAGGGATGCTGCAAGCCAGGGCACCACCTGGGTACCAAATGGGTAGCCAGCCTGGGGAAAGATGCTGATGCGGAGGGGATGCAGGCGAGGCGCCTGGCTTTGGTTGCGCAGCCTGCCGGTTACCAGGAGGCGCTTCACAGTCAGCCAATCGCCGCCGCGCGGGGCCCCGGTGATTTGCATGCGACCGATTGACGTCGCCCGGGGGCCAATGAGGAGCTCAGGGGGCGAGTTCCTCTTCCACGAGGACGAAGATGGTGTAAGCTGGCGGAGGTGCCTTTGCTGCTGCTGAGCTGCTGCTGCTGTTGTTCTTGCAGGTGCGGGGGACTCAATGGGCGGGTGCACTGGGGGGTCTGTGCACGGTGAGGGGGGAGGCTGTTTGCAATTGTGGAGAGGAAGGGGGCGGTCTTCATGCTTTGCAGTGGGGTCTGTCCGGGGACGATCATTTTGTGCTTCTGGTTTAGTGGAGGCACAGGCGCCCTTGACAGGAAGTTGAGGGTGCTTGGGATTTAGGGTGCCACACAAAGAAGCTATTTAGCTGCTGCTTCTTTTTCCTAGTGCGATCAGCGAGTTCTTCTGTGATCCCCTGCTTTGCTTTCTGGCTGTTGGACTTCCAGATCTGTAAATGCTGCAGGCTGGCAGCACGGTCATTGTTTGCGCGTGTTGTGATCTGCCCCTGAGATCTGTCACCTTCTCCCAAACGCCAGCTGCAGTGCCTCAGCACAGAGTCAGCCAGAGGTAATAAAACAGAGAGGAGGGTGGGATCCAGAGCCTGGCTCCTCGGTTTTGCCTCTGGGTGCTAGGTTTTCGTAACTTGCATTTTCTTTTTCGATAATGCCTGAAGAAGCTCAGCGATTGCTTTCCCCTTCCGATCGCCCAAAGGGAGTGCGATGGTGGGTGGATGAGCGACCTGTTTGTCTCTTGTAGGAAGCCGAATGCAATTCTGCAATACCTTTGTAGGGGTGCGGCATCTCAGAGGCTTGTAAACTGACCTCTTTAGGATTCCTGGTGGCTAAATGGGGTGACGGCTGCCTGGTTGGGTTTTTTTTGTTTCTTAGGGTTTTCTTTTTTTAAGGATTTTAAGGAAAGAGAGAGATTGCTACTGGGTGACTTGCTTGATCTCAGCCCAAATAACAGCAACCAGATTTGATTTACCTCTAGAGAGTAGAAATGTTGGAAGTGGCCACAACATTATTTCCTAAAACATGGTCTTGTGTATTGCCATCCAGCATTGCTCTCAAATGCCTTTGTTCCATCTGGTTGGCCTCCGAAGGAGTACAGCAGCTTTTGCCAAGCTGGTGCCCTCCTGATGTTTTGGACCACAATGCCGATCAGCCCCCAGCCACCACAGCTGGTGTGTAGTCCAAAACTTCTGAGGGATTGCCAGGTATTGATTTACTTGTTTGTTTAACAGATTTATAAACAGCTTCCCAAAGAGGCGTGCAAAATAACAAAAAGGATAAAACGTAAGCCCAGGTTACTAAGAGCAGTAAGATAATTTCTACAAAAGTCTAGAAACAATAAAACTGTACCTTACAAATTCTAGGAAGCATAAAACCATATCTGCAAATATGCAATCAATAGGCCATAAGTGATTGGGTCACCCACCAGGGAAAGCTTTCCTGAATAAAAATGTCTTTAAGGTGCCGAGACATCATGCTGCTCAGCAATGTCCTTAATTTTATCTGATTATTGAATCCAGAGGGCTAGGACTGCAACGCTAAAAACCCAGTTTCTAGTGCAAGCTAAGCACACCACCTCTGAAGCATGACCTACTCTCAGTAGTGCCCCATTGGAGGAGTGCAGATGCCAGGCATAGATATGTAGGGCGAGGTGCTCCCTTGGGTAACCTGGCCCCAAGCTGTTGTTTAGTGCTTTAAATGCTAAAAGCAGAACCTTTTAGCATTTAGTGC